CCTGGTACACTACCATATTTGCCCTACATTGACAATATCATAAGGGTTCGTGCCTTAGTGTCTATACTATCATGATTCAGTATTAATTGTTTATTGGATAAGATCATGTTACAAAGTGTTGTCCATATTTACATGTTTTTAAAATCTACATCATATATGAAAAACTTGTTTAGCTCAACATTCATTTTATAAAAAAGAATTTCTCACTATCAACACAAGTTAATACTATAATATAAGAAGGAGGATATTGAAATTATTATCGATGATTGCTTATATTGACTTCTCTCCACATAAATAGATTTTTATTTGATTCTAAATAAAACTAATTAATTCATAATCTTTATTGCTAAATAAAAATAAAATAACAATCAAATTACTTACCCAAAAAAGTAGTATTACTTAAATCAGAAGTCAAATTTCTTACCAAAAAAATAGTATTACTAAAATCCGAAGTCAAATTTCTTTTATTACGTAATAAATTTTGCTAACATTTAAAATAATCTAACGACGTATATGCAAGATGAATAGAATATGTATCTGTGGTGCGACTCTTATCTTACATTCATGAGATGTAAGTTGCCGCATTAGTCTTACTTTGCGTCCCCTCTTTCCTCTATCTTTATTTTATTTTAGGGGATCAACTGAAGGTGAAATTTCAAACCTTGATATACTTGGACGTGTAAGCTATAACAAGAAAGAAAAAAGAAATTAGAAAATATAACAAAATTTAAATGTGACCAAAATCTCTTGGAATTTTTAGATGTAATATTTGCATTTTGCAGTTCGATTTTCTCAGAACTTCACAAGTAATGCACAACAAGTTACTCAAATTACATTCAACCCCCAAATAATATCGAAAACTGTCACTTTTACCCAGTTGTTTCCTCTAATGCCTAAAGCAAAGCCCCATTTAACGGCTAAATAGTGTTTTAAACTAGAAACACGGCACAATGCGCACATTAAATTCCGTGCGCTGGGACGGTGCACATTAGCCCTTATCAATCACATCCCGCCACGTCATTCAGTGTCACACCTAATTTCCCGCAACCCTTCTCCTACCCCTTGGGGGTTCTAAGGGTGGGTGGTTTGCTTGGGTGGGTGGGTATCGTCTCTTTCCTTCTTTTCCATTTTCGCTTCTCCTTTTTTTACAACACTCTCTGCAACAAAAGATAAAAAGAAAACAAAGAAGCCTCACAGTGTTTAAATTAATCAGAAAAAATGAAATTCGAAATTGAAAATTAACGACTCTATCATTTCTCATTCCCAATTCACCCCGAAGAAATAATTTATTTCCAACAGTGTCCCCATTTCGCCGCTAATTATCAATGGCTCCACCGAGCTCAGCGTCGCCGGTGGCGTTATCGAGGCCGGTAGCTCAAAGGAAGGTCCGTCCTGCAGCTGACTCATCGGAGAGCTACCGCCGGCGACGGCGTCCGCGGCCGAGGTTATCGGTATCGCCGCCGCCGAAGAAATTCAGGTCGATGGAGGAGATCATGAGAGTGGCGAAGCGCGTGGAGTTGCCGCCGGATGACGACAGCGAAGACGACGGCAACGACGGCGAGGATGTTATGTGCGAGCAATGTGGCTCAGGGGAAAGGCCGGAGGAGCTGTTACTCTGTGACAAATGTAACAAAGGGTTTCATATGTTATGCCTTCGGCCTATTGTAGTTCGCGTTCCAATTGGACCCTGGCATTGTCCTCATTGCTCGGGTGATCAAAATCGCACAATCAAAAGTACGAACCGAAAAAACAAAAATAAAAGTAAACAGATGATTTTTTTAAAACTGAATCAAATAAGTAATGTGTTTGTATGCATGATTCTGTTTTTGAGTATCATGTATAAGTGCAACTGTGTGATCAAGCAAGTGATAAAATGGACTATTTGTTTACTTTCGTTTTTATGGGTTTTTAGGTTTTTCACAAAAGAAGATAGTTGATTTCTTTGGGATTCAGAAAGGCAGTGAAGTGATGGTAAAATGTACATCTGCTCAAGGTAAATGAAAAGTTGTAATTTTTATATCGGGATACATTATGTAAACACGATGGAGATCATGATCGAATGTGGTATTTCGGTTGATGTCTATGTACTTTTGTTAAACTAAGTTTTGTTTAAAGCGGATTGGTTGACATTGATGTATGTTTGTAATACTAAGTTGTCGTTAGAGTATGGAGACAGAGGATTCATATAGCCGATTCAGCTAGTTTTGGAAACTAAACCCTCCAAACCTAAATGTGAGCTGCGATTATTCTATTACTAAAAAAAGCCTACTCAAAAGGAGGGTGTGGAGGAGGACATGAATCTTTCACTCTTAAACCTAGAAAGGGAAGCGCAAATCATCCCATTATATAGTAATAAATGTTTGTTATCTTTTCCAATTGATGTAATTTATGTTTTGGTTGCTAGATTTTGTTTCCCACTTGCTCTTTTGATACGGAATAAAGTTTTTCGAATATTCTCTTTTGTTTCTGTTTTTAGTTTTGAGCTGGTGGATCGATGAGCTAAGTGTGCATAACATATAGATTCAACATTGATGATCTCAAAATTTGATGGTGGAATCAAAATCCTACAGTTAGCTTATCATTTTGATCAAATGAATTTTTGCTAAAAATTGTCTTTCTGTCTTTGCAGTATAGCTTTTGTCTGATATCATTTGATAATCTAAAGCGATTTGCAAAAGAAGTAATAAAAGAGTAATCTCTGAATTATTTTGAGGTGACCATAAGTTATCGTTCTTCTCATAAGTTATCCCTTTGAATTGAATAACACATAAAGCTAACATATTACAACATCATAACCATGCTTGTATTTTCTTTAGTCGTTTCCTGGGCATTAAGGTTGGTCAGTTTTATCTCAGTCTAGTCATTATTTTGCTTAGTGAGTAAAAGGGATTTGAACACAGGAGGTTTCTGCTTGCAGAACAAAATTTTCAATCAAAAACAGGTTTTATTGACAAAAGATTACTTTCTTAGATGTTCTAATGTCTAAAACGTGACCGTTGCCATTGTGATAGTTGTGCATATATGAAAGAAGTTTAACCTGTCTCAGTGACCATGTTGTTTGATCAACTTTCTGCACTGATCAGACAAATATGGTATGTGCTTGTCTGTAGAGCATTCTGTTTTCTCCACATCTGGCAACTAGTTTGGATTGAGGCTTAGTTGGCTGTTGATTAATATATGCTTTAACCAAACCACTCATGTATGAGGTAAGTATTATGCTTGCGGAAAGCATTCATGCAACTACTTACCAAATTTATTAAGGATGATCTATCCTTATTAACAAAAGTATGATTTGCATATTTCAGTTAATATATAGTGTGATAGC